ACAAAAAGGCTGTATAGTTCATTAGTGGAAATTTTGTTGTAAAAACCTTTAACTCAGTTTGAAAAGTCTGATGGGAACAGACACATTTAAGAATTTTAAATTAACTTACTGTGAATAATACTGATTAAACTTTTATTCTTTTTTATATTTTCCTGTTGGTAAATATATTCCTTTACATCCTTGATAGAAACAGATATTAAGGATTTTAAATCAGGATAATCAGAGTTCTAATCTTAAATAAGCATGAACTGATTATTTTTTACTTTCTGCAGCTTCCTCTTTGTCTCTGTTTATAATGACAGTGTCTGCAAGAATCAAGAATGAGTGACCCTTTCAATTTCCACTCAATTCTCATTTCTAAATTCTGTCCCATTCTTGCCTTAATTTTGTAACACATATCCACTTAACAATATAAGGTGATACAGAGCTCCCTGAAGTGGCAACAAATGAGACCAATGTAGGTGCAACAGTTTCATCCAGTCTAGTCAGCCACACAAAAAACCAAGGTTAATTAGCTAGGATTCTGGCATCAGTATAGTAACACCATGCTGGTCGCCCTCAGTCCAATGGATCTGTTTCTATGAAAAAATATATATAGAGAAATATGAATACACACACACACATTCATATCTGAAAAAGAATACATACATTGTCATGCTGCCATTTCTGAATGAAAATAAGATTAAGCATCTGAAGAAAAGGCAGAGGAAGCCTGGTATATTCAGCCTGATGAAGAAAAAACTAACTAGGGATCTAGTTTTTCACTTCTAGTTTTAGCTATAGACAAGATACAGCCAGACTTTTCTCAGAAATGCACATCTAAAGAAAAAGGAGCACTCGTCACAAATTGCAGAACAGGAAATTGTCAGAGAGGATAAGGAAAAATATTAAAGACAGTGATTTAGCAATGGAACAGGTGCCCAGAGAGGTGCTGGAATTTCCATTCTCTCAAACATGAGCTTGCTAAGGCCCTGCACAACCCAATATGAATTTAGTCCTTATCAAAGGCTTTGGACCACAGGACCTCCAGAGGTACCTTCCAACCAAACAACCTGCATTTCTTTATGAATTTTAAGATACTTGCAATGTGTCTGTATGAAAAACAATGAGAAAACAGCCAATGTAACATTGTAATTTCTCAAACTTTCCATGCATAGTTTTACTTGCTTCCCTTGTAATGTTTTTATAAGTGTTATACAACTTTACAAGATGGGGTTGCCATAAGCAGAAGTTTTTATGAAGTTTCACTACTCAAGTGTGGAAAATTGAGGATAAGTACTTATGCAAGATACAGATTTATCAATAATCAAGAGACACACAGTTTGAAACTGTATCGCCTGGAGTACAGAAATCCAGCTGATTATTAGAGGTAGCTGATCCATGAAGTCTTGTTTCTATTTTAGATTAAATTATTGCCTTTCAGTCATGCATATGTGTGTGTAAAGACTTATATATGTACTCATATACATTCAGTCAAGGTAGTAAAATTTTAAAACATACATACTATACTGAAAAAATGCTAGTATGAAAATGGCAACTAATATCTCTACTGGTGGTTATGAATGAAAGTGAAAGCAAAAGGTTTGTGGATTTTCAGTGGGATCGGAATGTTACCATTACATGGGAAATTTAACTGGTTACCAGATAGAAAGATGTGACTCTTCAATGTATTCAGAGTGGACCTTCCTTGCTTTCTATTGTTAACCATTCAATAAATAACTTTGCTCTTTTAGTTGTTAAGGCCAAGAACACTAAGAAGTTATAACAAACACTACAGTAAATCATAAAAGGAATCTAATATTTTAGAAACTGTATTGTAAAGAAGAGCAGTGAGTATGACAGATGGAAACAATCTACAGTGCAACTAATTTTGAGTAATTAAGATTGTTCAACTTTGGAGAGAGATGAACAAAAGATTCATGGTAAAATTTATACAAGTCTATCATACTTTGGTTGAGTGAGTTTCTTTCTAAAAATCTTACGATTACACATTCCCAACATTGTGCTTATTCCAGAAGTGCACCAATCAAGCGCCATTGCCCAGACTAGAGGTGAAATCATGTTTGGTCATAGGGAAAGGAAAAGTGGAAATCATTGCCCTAGACAAGGAGTACAATCTTAAATCTTACAATCTTACAATCTTAAAATATCGATGCAGAGCAAAAAAAAAATAATAATTTTTGTCTTAATTATAAATATTGACTGGAAAGCTAATACCTGTTAAATGAATAAATGTACCTGCTTATGCTATTATGTAACACTTGAAAACCAAGGAAATACATTGACTATACTGAACTAAAATGAAAAGAAAACATTTCTTTTTCCTGTGACTTTAAAGTGGAAGTAGATTTCACTTTAAAATTTTCTTGTCACTATTTAATATTGCATTCTTTTGCACTTCTTGCCCCTTAAAAGCCTATATTAAATGCATATTTTTGTTTAGCATTCTGGTTTAACCAAAAAATGCTCATGATTACGAAGTTTGTTCTGGAATATGAGTTAAAAACCTGTTGGATTAAGGTTCTCAAAAAATTTGTTTGAATTTTTGAGCCAAACTTTAGTTTAATTACTTTAGACTAGAGTTAGTCTGTCCCTTTAAAGTCTAATCTGAAAGACTTCAAAATAGCAAATTGTATGGAACTCAATCTGTTTATCTGAAGAGGATGAAAGGATTTGTGCTCCATCTAGATTTGAACTTTTGGTTCCACAGTGTCTAGGTATTTCAAACTAGAGGTTTACACCATTAAGACATACCACTCATGATAAATCAGTCTTTCCTATGTTAATATCCATGATAGAAAGATAAATTAATACCTTGATAAATTAGTAAAAATGTATTTTTAAATACTCTATTACACCTACTGGGAAAAGTGTCTATCAAAATTGCCATTTCTGGCACAAAAGGTGATATTGATTTATTTTTATTATTTTTTAAAAAATAATTCTGTAGAAATATCAGGAAAAAAAGAAGTCTCTGACAGAAACATCAGTTCATTCCATAACACCACACAAGAAAACCTCTTTTTCATTTATTAGCTTTGTCTCATCCCACTTTGAAGGTAATCTGTTTAAGACTACCTTAGCCAACCTAACTGTGAAATAAATTCATTGTACCCTATAACACAGGCAGCCCCAGTTAATATTGTTCAAATTATTTACATCTGAAGGGCCGCGCCTGTCTGGATAACTGGGCCCGACGCTTCTCTGGACTTGGTTTCTGCTACTTACATCTGTTTCAGCTTTAGACTTTCACTGGTATTCTGCCAGCAGCCACAACTTTTTAATGGCTACAATAAACTACAGAGACTCATCAAATCTTTGTTGTACGTGTTAAAATTATAGCCTCTTCAATTAAAATTTTGATGTAAAAAAACCCTACAGCATTATCTGAAGAACAAGATTTGAAAGGGAATGTTTGACAGAGATACACCATTTATATATGAGTGATTGTTTCTTTGTTTAAATATAAGAGAAACTATTCACAGGAATGCTTGTTAGAATTCTGCTGCATATTTCTGAGTGATAAAATACCAACATCTGAAAACATCTCCACAACCTTTTTTGTTTCAAATCTTTGCTGTCATTTAACTTTACATGTTAATTGGTTTGGCTGCATTTTAAATACATCTTTAGAAAAAAAGAATTACGAAAACAACCTCAACATAATGATTTTTTCTAGATTTTCTATAAATACCTAGGACAACTTGTTGCAGGAAACAGAAATCAGTGATAACAACAAAGCTGAAGTTTTTATTTTAATAGTTTAAGCATATAGCTTTTCCCACTTTCTGCCTGTGTCTTTGCAACTTAGAACAAACATGATGTGAATGTCACAGCCTCAGTGCAGATCCTGCAAGACTAAGATGCATGATAGCAGGACTATATTCTGAAAAAGTACAAGATCAAACACAGATCATGTTTCTGCACAAACTAGCCCGAAAGAGGGCAGGCCAAAGGGTGTAGAGGGCCAAGCGATGAGAGGAGATAGAGCACTCACTTTTGCCCGGGTCGAACAAACAACAACTGATACTTTCCTACCACTGTTAACCTTTGAAACTATCCTAAAGATGGTGGTGACCTTATCCAGCAATTTTGAACTGTAAGGATAAAGGTTTTTATTTCCTTACATTGAAAAAAATTAAAAACAATCACCTTGCACAACTTAAATTCTAAGAAGTCTCTTCCATTTTGATGTAGAGAGGCAAATGTAAATGAAGAAGTTTTTATAGGATTTCATACAGTTTCTCTCCCTAAATTACATTTTCTACACAAAACTGCTTCAGCAAAAGTAGTAACTTTCCCTTAACAAAAAAGACAGGCTTAAAATACCCAGTCATAATTTGCTGGATTTATTTTAGAAAGTCATATGTAGCAAAAAATAAAAATGGAACTGCTAGGAACACTTAGAGAGCAACCTTTCCTACTTTATTTCCAGTCAGTACCTTGATTGATAGATGAGTTGGGTTTCTGAGCCCGTCTTTATAATAAACATTTTAAAATGTTTATTTTATGTCCCAGGGTGAAAATATTTTGAACTGGAGCTTTCCATTTCCCTTTTCTGTGCCTTGGCAAAAGCTGTATTTTATTTCTACATTAATAGTATTCAACTCTTTCTTGTAGCTGTTAAATTGTTGTTATACAAGTACTGAAGAAAGTATTTATGTTATGAAACTAACAGATATCTACAGTTAAACACACAGTTCTGGAGAAGTCAGAGGAAAATTCACACATAACTAAAGAAAATTTTAGAAAGGTTTCTTTGGGGGCCTTTTGATTGTAAAAGGGAAAATTACTTTTCAGCATTTTTACTTTCATTTTTATTAAGTCATGAGTTCAATTTTTTTTTTCTTTCTAATTTATGTGAGTAATTTGTGCCACAGTGTAAAAACTCTAAATGAATCAACATTATAAACCTAATTAGCAATAAGAAAACCTCATAAAGGTCACATTTTAAATGGCACTTTGTTGTTAGCAGAACAAATGTGGAAGTTCCCAGTTACCTTCTAGATCTCGCTTCAGTTTCCTTAAATCTTTTATTAGGTCTTCAAACTTAACTTGGGAGGCCTGGAAAAAATCCTGTGGTTCTGGTAAAGGAAAAATACTCCTGTCTGTTCCTGCTTCCTAAACAAACAAACAAACAATGGCCACTATGAAAAGCATTTGCAGTGAAATAAATTAGGCTTTTCGAAATATCATCTATGAAACACTACTATGAAAATGCAAAATATTTCAAATTATCCTTGCTAAAACAACATATATACCATTAAAAATGAAATTCTGACCATTCTAAATGTTTGTAGTTTCAGTCTCCCAATTAATTAAATATGCACACATTTTAGAAGCATAAACTGAAATCAATATTTATATATTGTCTGAAATATAAGTTACTCCAGACAAGTACAAAATTACACAGTTGAAGGTTTAGGAAGTTAAATGAATCACATGGACTAATGTGTGTATGGAACTCCTAGGCATGTATCTTTTTTAGCACAGCAAGAAAAAAAAAATCAGAAGTAGAATGAAACAAAACAAAACACCTTACAAGGGTCAAAGCAATATCTCTAGCAGAAATTGAAACTGTTTTGTTCTACAAAATTCCCTAAAGTAAAATCACAGTGCAGTAGAAAGTTTGCAGAAATATTACATATTTAAATAAAACTGAATGCATTCAGCATTATTAAAACAGGAAAAAAAAAAAATTATGCCAGTTCCCTGTGAACAGAGAAACGTTACAGGCTAGACAAAGTTGCTTTTGTTATGAGGCTTTTTACAAGATGAATGTTTAGGTGAAAGTAATGTTACTTTATTTCTCTCCTAAAGAAAAAAAAAAAAAAAGAAAAAAAAAAAAAAAAAAAAAAAAGAGAGTACAGACCTAGATATCTGCTAGTTTTTATCTCTTCTACAGCTCAGCCCCAGGAGCTGTTCCGCTGGCTCCTGACATACAGATCCTCCAGCGTTAAGAGATCATGGAATGGTTTGGTTGGAAGGGGACCTCTAAACATCATGTAGTCCAACCCTCCTGCCTTGGGCAGAGAAATGTCTTTACTTACTTTAGCCTTCAATTACTTTAGCCTTACTCCTGGAAATAATACTCTCCACTACTAACTTGTCAATTCAACATCTTTACGTAAGAAATAAAAGAAAAAAAGAAGAAAAAAGGAAAAATAAATGGTATTTTATTTGTATTCAATCAGACACAGGGCCATGAAAAACTGCACTAGTCTTAGATTAAAAGATTAGGTAAAGGCATCTCCTTAATCTCAAAAATAAGAAACTACATACCTAAAATCAATTAATAATCACATTTTCATTTAAAAGACAATATTAATTTTTTTCCACTAAAAAACTTTGTGCACTGCTGATATCTATCAAAAAGCCTCATAAATGTAACTCACTTAAGGGAGCAGCCACATCTCTTCCCTCATTTTTGACATCTAACTTCAACCCCACTTCAACCCTGACTCACCTATCTTAAAACACCAATCTATCCTTGCACTCTGTCATGAAAGAGAACGTGTCTGCCTTCCATTATTACCACATCTGAACAAGCTTTACAATGTTACAGTAACCAGGATGGAAGAGGACAGGACTGGAGTGAACATCCGTCCAGATTGCAGCAGTCAGAGGCAACTGTTCCACAGGAAATGAAAATTTTCCCAAGTCTGCTTATAAAACCTATAGCAAAACTCAGACTTACTGAGGTTCACAACTATTATAAGAAAGCAAGAGAAATTGATTTTATTCTTCCATCAGAGCTACTGTGTTGAGGTTTTTAAAAAACAAAGATAAATCCTTTTACAATCTGTTAAAGAAAGCTACTTTTGGAGAAGCAGAGACAGCAAATGAATATTTTACCTTATCACAATGGCGTAGGTAATATATGACGACATAATCCACAAGATTAATACCACTATCCTGGAGAAAAAATAAATATAATATTAAAAATGTGTGCGATTAACACTGTTTCGAGTGAGAGAAAATTTGCTTCATTTCAAAATAAATAAATTATTATTTGAAATTGCTGTAAGAAATAGGACTCACGACATCTTTATCCCTAGCATTACTGACCCCCCCAAAATCATTATTTTATACCATAGACTTTACCATACCACCACAGAACTTAGAATTTCTTTTTTTTCTTAATACCAGACAAGAAAACATGCACTGGGAGAAGAAGCTTCCATGTCTTTAATAATATGAGGCATTACTGAAGAATAATAACTCGAATAGCAATACTAGTTAACAATATTATTCTTGGATATAATATTAACAAAATATTACAGTAACCTCAGGTATATTCAGGTGAACTGAATTTCTTTATTCCTTGCTCTCAATTCAACTATAATGAATGAAGATCTGAAAAAGGCAGACATTTTTCATATTTTACTCCAAATATAAAACCAGACAGCATGAACCTAACACACATATTTCATGCCCTGTTGCCTCATAAATACAAATTTTAATACTCAGTTTGTAGAATCACCATTTCCACAGTCCTGCACACAACAACTGTAAAAACCATAATCTTATGTTGTTACATGTCATTGGGTCACCATAGGCAAGATAAACTAAAGGAAAAGTGTAAAACTGCAACTTATACATTCCAGGGTATAATTCAACAACATAAAAGAATCATAATATAGGGACTTATGTCTGGAATGTCTTTGAAGTTTTTTGGATCTGTTTTCATATTGTATATTGACAGCTATCAAGAGAAATATTTGTATGTGAACAATGTCTGACTTGCTATACAGAGCTGCCTCTGCCTATATTAGAGCCTGCAGCACATTATGCTTTATTAATATCATACACCAGCAAAATTCTTCACTAAGAAAGTCATTGCTGTTACTCAGACAGAGCCACTCTGCTTTTATAATGGTATAGCAAGACACTGCTGACTGGTTAGGTGACAAAAATGAACTGAGGTGACTCATGAACACTTGACTGCCATTTCAGTGTAAAATACACCCATTGTTTTATTTTCTACATGCTAAACCATCAAACTTATTACTTTAGTTGAAAGAGTATTTGCAAAAGACAAAACACTAGGATTTTGAAATGGTGAGTTACATTAAAAAAAAAATTAAAAATCTCAATATCATGTAACTTTCTAGGCTCATGTGACAACAAATGACTATTACATGAAATAATGATTGACTCTTTACTTTAGCTCCTGGAATTCAGCTTGCCTAGATGTAATATTACTTGCTGGCAGTTCTCAAAAAGGGACATAGGAAGGATATCTTGATGTTCAAATATACAAGACCCTGAATTCTTTTTCCTTAAATATATGGTCTACCAGTTACCTCTGAGGATGCATGTCTGCCTGTAGCAGCTGGCACTTTTGAGTTTTTCTGCATTTTGGAGACTAGTGTCAACTAATAATATATTTGTTTTGGCTACCATAAAACAATAAATACTGTAATTTTTAAGTTTGTTTTGCTAAGGAACAAATCTTATGCAATCATACTTCTGTCAGTCTTTTTCATAACTCATGATTTTGGAACATGCTGGCTATATTCAGCCAGATCGGAAAGTCCCTAAAATCATTACATTCTTACAGGTTTATAATTAGATAGAAAAGACTAAAGTAAGCACTTCTACTGAGGAAAGTCAGGCAAACATCAGTTGTTTTACATTTTTCTTCCTGGCAGCTGGCTAACCAATGAACACCTGAGTAGTGGGAAACTTGGCCTGGTTATAGTTTAGCTACAGCTTGTACTGTGTCTTATCCATGGAATAGCACTGGAAGAAAAGTGTTCATAAGGAACAGCTGAACCATTGCAGTGGAAAGGAAAGCAAGAATTATAACTACAGAATCATAGAATCACTTAGGTTGGAAAAGACCTTTAAGATAACTGAATCCAACCATAAACCTAATACTGCCAAGTCCACCACTACACCATGTCCCTCAGCACCACATATACAAGTCTTTGGGATGGAGACTCAACCACTTCCCTGGGCAGCCTGTTCCTGTGCCTGAAAACACTTTCAGTGGAGAAATTTTCCCTATTATCCAATCTAACCCCCATCAGAACAACATGAGGCCATTTCCTCTCATCCTATTACTTTGTTAATTGGGAGTAGAGACCAAATTCCACTTTGCTACACCCTCCTTTCAGGTGGTTGTAGAGAGCAATAAGGTCTCTCCTCTGCCTCCTTTTCTCCAGGCTAAAAAACCCATTCCCTCAATCACTCATCATCAGACTTGTTCTCTAGACTCTTTACCAGCTTTTTTCCTTTCTTTGGACACATTCCATCACTTCAATGTCTTTAGGAGACAAAGGACTCAAATACATTCATTAATGTAGTTTCTCAGTGAACAAGTAATTAAACACGTTTTCACATTTTGCTAATGATGATATTCACACATAAAATAAAAATCTCCCTAGACATACAGCTTTCCTAACAGTGCCTGTCTCACAAACACATTCCTATGTACATGAAGCATAACCAGGCACAAAATTGTAAAATCTGCCTTTCTTATAGGTCAAGACAGAACTTCATGTAGGAAAACAGAAGAACATGAAAAAACAGGTGTTTTTATCACCCTCCAAATCTCTACCAGCATCAGCAGAAAATACCTTTTATTCTTTGCTGCTTCGTATATCCACGTGGTTTCTAGGTATGCTTTGGCAGAGAACGACTTTGAGTAGTGTTTCCATTGCCTATATTATCTAGCACCTTCTCCTCTGCCCTACTGAAATAAGGAACAAAATAACCTCATCTCAAAAGGTACCCAGATTTTGTTTGAGCCTGACTTTGATCGCAGCATGACTAATCAAAAATGCGCTAGTGGTTCTCATTTTTTCCCAAAATCATTTACAGCCATCTATGAGCATCTTCTCGTGCATGCCATTCAGAATTCATGGCCTACACCCATTTAATTACAAAAAAAAAAAAAGACTGAAAATATGTTGTTGGGTATGACACATCTTTTTGAAGAGGATTAAAACTCTGTATACTATATATTTATAATCTTTACATATAATACCTCAGTGTACGTGCTATGCTGAACCTTTACTGATACCTTGTTTTTAAACCTGACTTTTAAAAAATTTCTACTCATGTAGAGCTACCTCAAGTTGCAGGTAAGAAAACCAATGGGGACATTTACTGGAGAAGATTTCAGTAGTCTGTGCTCTCTCACTTCTCAGTAACCTACTGTAATTAACTCCTTACTAGTAAGAGACACACAGAAGTTCTCACATAAGAAATTATCCTAGTAGTACTGTGTAGAAGAATCTGGAGATTATGGAAATACACACATGAGCAGGAGGTGGAAACTTATATAGAATCACAGAACGTTAGGGGTTGGAAGGGACCTCAAAAGATCACCTAGCTCACACAGGAATGCATCCAGGCAGGTTTTGAATGTCTCCAGAGAAGGAGACTCCACAACCTCTCTGGGCAGCCTGTTCCAGGGCTCTGTCACCCTCACAGTGAAAAAGTTTGTCCTTATGTTTACATGGAACCTCCTATGCTCCAGTTTGCACAAGTTGCCCCTTCTCCTATCATTGGACATCACTGAGAAGAGTCTGGCTCCATCCTCCTGACACTCACCCTTTACATATTTATAAACATTGATGAGGTCACCCCTCAGTCTCCTCTTCTCCAAGCTAAAGAGACCCAGCTCCCTCAGCCTTTCCTCATAAGGGAGACGTTCCACTCCATCATCTTTGTGGCTCTGCCTTGGACTCTTTGAAGCAGTTCCCTGTCCTTCTTGAACTGAGGGGCCCAGAACCGGACCCAATATTCCAGATGTGGCCTCACCAGGGCAGAGTAGAGGGGGATGAGTACCTCTCTTAACCTACTAACCACAGCCCTTCTAGTACACCCCAGAATGCCATTGGCCTTCTTGGTCACTAGGGCACATTGCTGGCTCATTGTCATCCTCCTGTCCACCAGGACCCCCAGGTCCCTTTCTCCTATGCTGCTCTTCAACAGGTTGGTCCCAAATTTATGCTGGTATAGGGAGTTGAGATGCAAGGCTCTACACTTGCTCTTGTTGTATTTCATTAAATTTCTCCCTGCCCAACTCTCCAGCCTGTCTCGGTCTTGCTGAATGGCAGCACAGTCTTCTAATGTGTCTGCCACTCCTCTCAGTTTGTGTCATCAGCAAACTTGCTGACAGTGTCCTCTGTTCCCTCATCCAGGTTGTTGATGGATATAGTGAATAGCTCTGGTCCCAGATGGGAGAAAAAAAGCAAAAAAATGGTACAAAGTGCCTAACTCTTTCAAGAAAGAGTGGTAAGAAATAAGAAAATATTAACTACTGATAGATGAGGGAACAAAATGATCACTTGAGAAAAATTATCTTTAATTCAACATGAGTACTTACTCTGCTTTTGACATCCTTTAGTTTGGGGAGTATTTCCAAACCAAATCCATCAGCTTGACCTCGGGTCCTATTCCCGCCATTCATGTAATTTCCAAAAGCCAGAATCAAACCTAAAATTTCCTTTACACTTGTCATGTTCAGCAACGCCTGGAAGATGGATACTAGTTTGTAACTTCTGTTGGCACAAAAATTCCAATCACTAATATAAAAAAGCTGTTATTATTTTATTTTTTCAAGAGATTTTGTTTCTTGTCTTTCTTTACCCCTGTAGGGACTGGAAGCTAAAACTAGTACAAGAATCACTTTTAAGAGAAGCATTTATTAAGCTATATCTCCCAAGATACTACATTTAACTTAAAACATGTGAAGGAAATTACATGGCATCACATATTATGTAGATGACAAAAAGATTAATGGAAGATTGCTAAATATTCTTAGCAGCCTTTAAAAATCTTACAGACGAAGTGGTTTATCATGAGTTAGCATACTACACAGTCAAATGGAGATGTGCTCGTTTTGCTGTCACTAGGTTAGGCTCAGACTGTCATATTCAATCTGCTGCTCATTGGTTCTGGTGCTCTGCAGATCCACCTTTCTGGATCCACACTTAATGGATATACCAGGGCTAAAGACTAAATTGCTATGTTTCAAAACAGAAAAGAAATCTAGAAACACAGTGGAAAACTAATAAATTATTTTCATTTACATACAAATCTTGTCAACTGAGAATCTTGGACCATGGGCCTCATTTTTAACAATGTAGCCTTACACTGTGCATTGGCTATATCAATTGTGAGCTCCTCATAAGTAAACTGAGGGCAACACCACTTTCCTTATCTCATACAAAATGGTTTCCTTATTTATATCTCTTTTGGAAAGCAAACACTAAGTAACTATTTTTACTGTTAGAATATGCAAAGAAATCCGAGCGGGATAGCTCGGGGGGACTTTGGCAGCAAAGCTAATCATAAGCTAATCTTCAAATTGGAAAAAAAGATTAAATAATTAAATACAGTCCCAGCCATGATGTTATACAATTAGGTCACCATTTAGTTTCTCTGTTAATTCTTATCTCATTCTACTTTTCATATGCTATATGTTGCAATTTCAAAATCCTGTCTTTAGTCACTTATAGTATAGAAATCTTAGATAAAGCTTTGTCAGGTACTAAAAAATCTGCTGTGTTTGGTTTAATAGCAATGTATAGATACCAGGGGAAAGTAATAAGCTAATGAACGTGATAGGTATCTACCACTGATGGCATCAACAGTGACATGCAATAAAAGTATTACCTACTACTCTAATTAACATGTAAAGTAATAAAAATCTGCCATTCAAAAAGAAATGTTCCTATGTAGAGTGTAATTCATGACAAACAGCAAACCTTCCCTCTTTCCTCCTCCTTTTGTTCTTACAAGCAGCTAAAAAAATTAAAATACTTTTATTTTCCTGAAGAGCTGATAATCAGGCTTAAGGTTCAACACAATGCAAAAAAACCCAAACAAACAAACAAAATAACCAACACAAAACAATACTCTAAAATATATTTTTACTTCGCTTTCACTAGGACATACCTTAGAAACACGAGTTATGATGTCAACTTTCCGATGCACTGCTGATATTCCTTCAGAGAAAACTGACTGGAAGATAATACACTGAGCTCGTTCTGTGAAGTTGGGGATCTGAGATAACTCATATAAAAATCTGTGGAAAATAAAGTATTAATTAATCTTTATATTTCTTATATTTGGGGTACATAATAGATTAAATCTGTAGTCTCATGAAATATATATGCAATCTTTCCTACTTTGAATCAAATCTGACAGAATTTTTAAATTTTATATTCTTTATGCTCAATGTATAAATAAATAATATTAAGAAAAAGGCAAGGTATTAATTGTTATTCCATTAGTGTCTTTATCCATTTTCACAGCTGCATAGTAACAAATAGAAAAATCATAAACCTAGATAAAAATTAAAAAAAAAAAAAAAAGGAAAATAACAATAAATGGAAAGAGTTAGAGAAACACTATTTATTTACTGTTTTCATTTCTGTGTTTTGTTTCCCTTAAAAATGTGCCCAGCAATACGGAACTCAATATATTCATACAAGGTTATTTCATAATATAAAACATCTGCCAAGCAATTTCTTCTGATGCTCAGCCTCAGTTTTCATTTACTAATTTCTACCACACATCCAGTTATTCAGCATGTTTTACGGTAAGGCACCTAGTCGTGTATTTAGCTCTAAAATACTTGCAGATTATACCTCTCTTCAATCACTGTACAGCAGTTACTGACTTTTTATCTGCTCTTTATCTGTCCTCATATATATACCTTTCTCATGAGTCTATTCCAGCTTTCTTACTTTAGCTCTTGGATAAATAAAAATAAATAGAAACATATTTAACAACTCCAGTTCGGATATCACAAAATGAAAGCATCCCAAAGGCATGAGTAATTACTCTCTTTTCTTCAGTTCAAAATGTAAGAGCTTGGCTAAATAATACAAGAAGCTTTACCATTTCTTATAATAACAGGGTTTGCATAATTTGCTTTGTGGGTTTTGAGTCTAGGATTTCAGTGATACACATGCTTTCTCAAAATCCAGAAACAAGCTGTCTTTTGTGCCAGTATCACTTTAGAAAGATTCCTCTAATCTGTCTGCAGATATTCTTAGAACCCCCTCAAAGAGATGCTGTAAAGATTTTTTTACCTCATTGAATTATGGGAAATTTTGCGAGCCAAAATTAGCTTGAATTCTTATTAATTTTATTTTAATTGTTTAAGCCAATGCATCTGATTTCTCCAAAATATTTTTTTCATAATAAATACTATCAGTATCTTCAAATCTGCTTTATAAAACTCTCATGCATGCAATGCTTTGCCGAATATATAGTGACTGTATAAAAAATCAGCAACATCCACCTGTGGATGATGTGAATTACTATGTTTTAATGGGAATGTAATTTTTTTTTCCTTCTTTTCCTGTCTTGCCTGATGAAACAATGTATTAGGAGAGAAGGACTGGGGAGGACCAGCCTGGCTCTTACACTTAAGCAGTGGGAAAAAAGAAATGCCAAGCTGGTATTAATAAAAATGCTTCCTATTGGGAATGAATGGTATTGCCAGGAAAAAAAAAAAAGAGGATACTTTGCACTCTGTGAGAGAAACAAAAGAAAGAAAAACCCAAACTGTTTCACTAAAGTTCTAACATACACAGATTTTACAAGTTTAAATTTTAAAAGTCAAATGACACATATTCTTGCCATCTCTTGAAAAGGCAACACTGCTGGTCATTGGAATACAAATATAATTGTGCCGACCATTAAAAGAGCATTAGCATAAAAAGAAAATATCTCCAGATTTTGGAATTCAAAGTATTCAATGTAAATATCCAGTCAGAAAACATGTAACCGAAATCTGTCACAAGAAGGAATGTTAGTGACTACAAATGTAGTTACTAAATACAAATTCATGGCATGAATCTGTGGTTATCAAAGATAAACAACCAATTCAGGTGGATAAAACTTTTGAAGACAAAAAATATTCTTAGCTCAGTCATTTTTGCCATTTCAGTCTGAGAAAAGAACAGTTGACTTAAAGTAACAATGACATTACTGTAACAGAGATTGCTAATAGATTTCTCATTGCTATGCTTGTTATGGCCTAAAATAAACACAGAAATATTGTTGTTCATCTCTGTGAGGTCCATTTTACTACTCTCCTGCAGAAAATGTAAATAAAAATGCATTTACTTGAGAACTCTTTTATCCTACCAGAACCTTGTAGTAAAAGACTTGAGAGTAGTTTCAAGACAGGCATATAACCATCATTTTAGTATAACGGAACATTCCTCCAGAAGAGAGACAAAGGCTGATTCTATGGAGGTAAACCATTGATCAGTTCACACTTAGCCACATTTGAAGGTGTATCTAAACCTGCAAGCTTCTAAGTAAGTCAGCAAGATCTAAAGTGAAGTCAAAGGAAACTGGACTTCAAGGAGAAGCAAACAGCATTACTTGGTCAGCAGTTGTCAACAGTTCACTATTTCCTTAATTCCAACTACACACAAAACAGAGAAGTTCAGCACTGTACTTTGCTACTATTTCCTTAATTAGTATTTCTTTTACAGTAGAGAGGACTCCACAAAGATTACATTACAATTAAAAGGGTCTTTTAGGAAACTAGCTAAAGTATCTGTATCTTGCTAGCAAAGCCCCAGACTGTGGCCAATTGGGCAGATAAATCTTTATTGTGTTATGAATATTAGCATTTTAACAAGTATTACCATGAAGCATAATTTAGAGGGGTATTGTCATGTTGCTGTCATACTTAAATTTGTGCCAACAATGGCAAATGTAACATGCCAGCAAAACAAATAAAAATCACTTGTGCAGGAGAGCATCAGTGATACCACTAAAGCTTTCTATTTGTCTGGTAAATCAAACATTTAAAAATGGTGGTTTCTTTTAGATGTCAGTGAATTTATGTCAGTGGCTTCATTATATTAATGCTTATTGCTGGTATTTGCAACCATTTCATAAGTGGCTTAGTTCGCACTTCTGTTCTGATACTCATTAAAGAAAATACATAAGGCTTATGCCCTGTAGCAAGTATCGCATATACAAATTTAGCACTTCTCTGTCTTTAAACTTTTAAGGAGGTAATATGTATAGTACAGTTCCAGCAATCTCCAGTTCTGCATTTACGTTCTCAGAGGCTGACTCGGACAACAAAACCAGCAGCACCTGATCTACTGAGTTTTCAGAAAGCACATTATTCTGAAGCTCAAATAGAATAAATCTCTATCCTCAGCAAATTGTTTCTCCCTTGAGGCAGCATTTTTTAAAGTTAGTTTTTTTAATCTATGTAGTTTAATAATAGGGTAAAAATGGGATAATTAAGACTTGCAGAGAGAACACAAAAAGTAATTATTGATAGAAAGTAGCTTTGTCACTGACACTGCTTTTACACTCTGAATGATCAGGCATAACTGATTTATATACATTTATTTACTTTTAATTATGGAAAAATGATACCATAAATCCAACTTTGTGTTTAATTAATATCAGCTTCTGTTCACTATAATTTACAAAACCAGACAACCTTTTCCAACTCCAGATCTACACAAGACTTGCATTCTACAGAACACAAAATGCGCTAATATTTATTTCACTCAGACATACAGGCAAACAGATTCAAGCTCTGGAAAACATCAACTACTCACACAATGTATTCTTCTGCCCCAAGCAAATGCAATGAAAGCCCTGGATATGGGATGCAACAACAAGCAAGTATACACACTTTACAGATATTTATCATCTTAAGTCTCACTCAAGAATGACAGCCACTCTTAATCAAGACTAAGTGTGATAGCTTCATCTCCCAACACTAAACTATTCCCTAGTGGACAGTCACAAATGAGTACTTAGCTGCCTTGAATTAGGAGGAAGAGAAAACAAATTATACTTTTCACCACTAACATTTGAATGGGAAAAAAAGGTATGAAAATGTAATACTTCTGACATTAACCAATCATATACTATCTTTGTTGCTTCAGTACTTCCTCCCTCTGCCCATTCTTAGAGCAAAGACATCAGAAAGGACAAAAACAGACAAGAAGGAAAATGAAGCAAGATGGCAGAGAGACCTCAGGGCAGGAAAATGCACTATGATTACAAAGAATGGAAGTACAAAGAGAAAACTAGCAAAGTAGCAGAAGACAACCACTGCTGGCAGGCCAAAATCTGATAAAATGTATACACTAAAATAAAACAGAGGATTACCATTCTGTTTGTGGATTCTAATTTTCACGCTGCTCTAAGGTTTATTACAACAGATGGAGCAACATTTAAGTTTTTCATCTTAACAGTTGTCACTGCCCACAACAGTCACAGGATGAACTGTGGAATCAGCCCTGTAGGCCTCCAATCATCCCGGCCAGGCTAAATTGTGCCACCAAACTCCTTGTTTCTGTAGCTCTTTCAAATAATCAACAAGCAAAATCAGTCTGGCTCTGCTTTATGACATTAATTTAGCCCTAAAAGCTCTAAGCGAAAGATAAGCCTTTTATGAATGTGAACACAATTTTTTATTGATTAAAGGCTACATATTTTGTCACTTCTGGTTGTCCAAGGTGACACAGTAAAATCTGCATTGTCTGAAAAAAGTTATGTGATAGAAGCAAAGTTTATATCATGCCTTGAAATGCACAAAAGACTTTAAAAATTAGGAAGCAAAAATTATGTGTCAGGATCCTTTTTAACATATCAGCAATTTTATATATCTATAATGATAAAATGTTACAAAATATAATCTTACTGTTCTGGTTTATCCAGAAGCTTCAGTTCATCTTCTTTTGAAGTCTGATAGTATTGCTTGATTTTCTCCAGCTCATCCTTCTGTGCTCTCTGAGAGAATTAAAATAAAGTAATCAATAACTAATTAAAAAATTACTGATTTACCTGTTTGTCTGCAAGTAACAATTATTAAATGGGTAGACCTATTTTATTACTGGTGAATTTGCTAAAGACTTTTCTATATAATTTTTTTTAGTCTAAAATGACAACATAAAATTAAACTTTACTTATTCTGTGTCTAAAATAGTATGGTAATTAACTGAAGCTTTACCCCAGCTTACTTACATTTTCATATAGTGCTTCCAGTGTTTCCAGATCTACCACAGAGTCATCAACACACAGTATAGCTGTATAGAATACAATAAAAAATTAGATGCTGGATAGAACACACACTCAAAGAGTTCAATTTTTTTGCTTGAGAAATGTACTAAAGAAATCTGACCTAGCTAAAGGACATACCTGTCTTCAGTTAATATTATTTTCAGCAATTTTTTTATTCTGACTTCAAGTCACAATTAATTTACCTCTGCCTCAGGAGACAGGAATTTTCACCAATTTTCCTCTCCAGCATACTCAGCAATCAAATATATGACTTTCCAGGTACTCAGCTGATTGTGCAGCTGGCCATGCAGAACATGAGAACAATCATAGAATCACAGAATGTTAGGTGTTGGAAGGGACCTCAAAAGATCATCTAGTTCAACTCCCCTGCCAGAGGAGGGTCACCCACAGCAGCTCACACAGGAACACATCCAGGCGGGTTTTGAATGTCTCCAGAGAAGGAGACTCCACAACCTCTCTGGGCAGCCTGTTCCAGGGCTCTGTCACCCTCACAGTGAAAAAGTTTGTCCTTATGTTTACATGGAACCTCCTATGCTCCAGTTTGCACAAGTTGCCCCTTCTCCTATCATTGGACATCATTGAGAAGAGCCTGGCTCCATCCTCTTGACACTCACTCTTTACATATTTGTAAACATTGATGAGGTCACCCCTCAGTCTCCTTTTCTCCAAGCTAAAGAGACCCAGCTCCCTCAGCCTTTCCTCATAAGGGAGATGTTCCACTCCCTTAATCATCTTAGTAGCTCTGCGCTGGACTCTTTCAAGCAGTTCCCTGTCCTTCTTGAACTGAGGGGCCCAGAACTGGACACAATACTCCAGATGTGGCCTCACCAATGCAGAATAGAGGGGGAGGAGAACCTCTCTTGACCTACTAACCACACCCTTTCTAATACACCCCAGGATGCCATTGGCCTTCTTGGCCACAAGGGCACATTGCTGGCTCATGGTCATCCTCCTGTCTACCAGGACCCCCAGGTCTCTTTCACCTACACTACTCTCCAGCAGTTCAGCCCCCAACCTGTACTGGGACATGGTGTTGTTCTTCCCCAAATGTAAAACTCTGCACTTCCCCTTGTTGAATTTCATCATGTTTCTCCCCGCCCAACTCTCCAACCTATCTAAGTCTCTCTGAATGGCAGCACAGCCTTCTGGTGTGTCAGCCACTCCTCCCAGCTTAGTGTCATCAGCAAACTTGCTGAGGGTACATTCTATACCCTCATCCAGGTCGTTGATGAAGATGTTGAACAACACCGGTCCCAGCACCGACCCTTGTGGGACTCCACTAGTAACACACCTCCAACCAGATTCTACCCCATTGACTACAACTCTCTGACTCCTTCCTTTCAACCAGTTCCTAATCCACCTCACTTCCTGGTCACCAAACCCATACCTGATCAACTTTTCTACAAGGATGCTGTGGGAGACGGTGTCAAATGCTTTACTGAAATCAAGATAAACCACATCTACCGCTCTACCATCATCTATCCACCTAGTAATTTCCTCATAGAAGGCTATGAGGTTAGTCAAACATGATTTACCCTTGATAAAACCATGTTGACTGCTCTTGATGACCCCCATGTCCTTGATGTGCCTGGAGATAGTGACAAGAACAAGTTGTTCCATCACCTTTCCAGGGATGGAGGTGAGGCTGACCGGTCTATAGTTACCCGGGTCCTCCTTCTTGCCCCTCTTGTAGACTGGAGTGACATTTGCTATCCTCCAGTCCTCAGGCACCTCTCCTGTTGCCCATGACTTACCAAAGATGATGGACAGTGGCCTAGCAATGACCTCCCTAGTTCCCTCAGCACCCACGGGTGCATTCCATCCGGACTGATTGATTTATGGATGTTCAGATTGCTTAACTGATCCCTAACCCAATCCTCATCTACCAAAGCAAACTCCTCCATCATCCTGACTTCTTCTGGGGCTTTAGGGATCTGGGGCTCCTGGGAGAGTCTGCAGCAGTAAAGACAGAGGCAAAGAAGGCATCAGTATCTCTGCCTTCTTTATATCCTCTGTCACCAGGGCACCCACCTCATTCAGCAACAAGCCTATATTGTCTCTAGTGTTAGTTCTATCTGAAGTGTATTTGAAGAAGCCCTTTCACTTGTCTTTGACCTTTCTGGCAAGGTTTAGTTCCAAGGAGGCCTTAGCTTTCCTTATTGCCTCCCTATATCCTCTGACAAAAGTCCTATATTCCTTCCAAGTGCCAGCCCCTCCTTCCATGATCCATAGATTCTCTTTTTCCACTTGAGTGGAAATAACAGACAACAAAGAGCAAAGATTCTGTGGTAGCTTAGAAGACTGGATGGGAAGAAATTGGGAGTTAGGGTATTTAGGTCTCCCTGCATGCATGGAAGATCAGGGAAATATGGAAACAGGGAGATCTGCTTGTCTTGAGGCTAGCAATCTTGGAAAGTAGAAAGGTAGAAAATCTTGCAAGATTTGCAAGTTGCAAACTTGCAAGCACAACAGATTGTTCTACAGATTCTTTACAGTATCTTCATAAAGCAGCTCAGTTTGAGTTCACTTTATCCACTAGAAAAATACCCACGTGAGAATTTCAAGATGAATACCTTTAAACATGACAGAGACACCTGAAGTACACTTTTCAGTGATTAATTACACCTCATTACCCAAAATGAAAAGTCTCCAAAAGTTTCCTCTCTTAGTTCTGAATGTTACAACGTTTGGAATACACAACATCAGTTGTTTTCAACATTTGAGGATTCCATTACTGATTAGGCAATGTATTGGGATTCCTCTGAAAAGTAAATAGGAATGGTTCACAGTGCTTTCTAATGTTCCTTAATGTTAAATTCCAGAGAGATGCATAATGGAATAGAAACATCTTCAGATGTTTAATCTTTCTGAAACCAGCATTTCATCAAATTCATAATAGGACTGGGCACAATTTCTGAACTCTTGACTTATGTTAGATATTACTGGGAACATTAATCTCAAAAGAATCAAGCTTAAGGCCACTATCGATTTCCCACATAACCAATGACTCATCATTAGATACTACCTGGTAACTTTTAATTTCAACTGTGTTATATTTATTTAAAGGAAAGCTGATTACTTGTGAATTTACAAGATTTTAAAAGCTCTTGCTGCGTTTGCAGTACATGTTTGAAAGGGGTAAGGCACACATCTTTAAATAATTATTTAAAAGTAATAAGCTTTTGCCTGCTCTTCCACCTACCCCATGATTTTACATTGTGAAATTAACCAGCAGGCTAGTAAATTTTCTCTGTGGCAGGCTAATTAATTTTATTAAAAGGTCCAATGATGTTTAGAATGCTTTAAAATTTTGCCTGTCAATTATGATTCCATCTGTTGACATTACACCTTGGTTAGAAGTAAAGAATTATACGAAGTAAGACAGTATCAGTGAAAAAAGCAATATCTCAAACTATCTTTGTCCCATTTGAAAGATGCAAAAAAAGCTCAAGAGTGTAACCAAATATAAAGCCAGAATAATTGAGCTAGACAAAAATCTTTGTTTAAAGAAAAATCATTAAGTGTTGAATCTATTAAATGATCTGTTGGCTCTTGCATGACAGTTCCATGAATTGCATTATCTTCTGTATTATCCAGTGAAATTTTGAAAGAACCAAAGAGATTAGAAAAATAATTTGAAAATTGTTTTCACAGTCCAATATATTTAATGGTTAAGATTTAAAAATATGCATATTGAGTTAAAAAACTTCCCCCTTATGATTTAACTTTTATCCTGTTTTGGAATATTCTGAAATCTGCTTACCAGGAGAAATTTATTTGTCCAGAGTTATCTAAAAAGCAACTTACTGGAAGTATTTTGAACTAGAAATACAAACTAAGTAACAGTAGATTTTACAGTAGATTACAGTAGATTTTATTTTTAGTTATAGAACTATTACAAAGAAGGTAAGTAGATTGAAAATAGTAACACCTTAATAAGAATATCAAGATTTGTACATCTAACTGGAATGCCATTTAGATATGTGTCACAAAAAAGGGCCCAAAATCACCAAGTGTTTTTTATTGCTGTCTTCTCTTACCCATGTTTCTGTACCCAAGACCTGTTCTAAGAAATGAACATGGTTTTGAAGTTACATGCCAAAGAAAAAAATGTTTGAGATTAAACTACTAAAATATAATTTGATAAATACACATACTTTTAACATAATTAATAATAATCAGTGTTAAGATACATTAATATTATTTATTTTCTCTTTTGGACAAATATGTGATTGTATAAAATCACCATGAAAATATTTTCTGACTTACTTGTTATACAACCTGTCCTACTGTTAATGGCTATTTCCATGAAGACAGGCTGCAGTTAAAATCCTAGCCATATTACTCCATTCAGTGATAGCTGGACATCTTAGCATGCTAATGTATGGAGAGACAGATTTCCAAAGAGTCACAAGTACTGCCAAATTCCACACAGACTATTTTTTTAATCTTTCTGTATCTTAATATCTTTGTCATGTCTTTTTTTCCCTTTAAACTGATCAAACTCATTGCCATACATATTTGGAGCAGAAGACAAAAACATGTAAAATTATGAAGACTAGCCCATGTTTAAAAAAATAAGCACTGATTTTTAAAAGCTGGGAGAAATCCCCAATTCACAGGTGTCTAAGTATTCTTCATATTTTTCTTAAAATATGTGCAATAGATTCACAGTACATTGTGCACATTAACTTGAATTGGGGCAGCAGAAACACCCCCATTACACTAGATCAAAGAAACTAATTATTTGACTTCTTACTCAGTTACAAGGAACAAAAATTTCTTAATTTTTCTGTGAAAAATAAAACCTAGTTTAAGTCATATGTATATTAATATTATTTAAATTAATAAAATCGTTGATACTTTTTTCACAACACTCTTCCTGATACAATCAATTTAACTTTGATACTTTACTGCAGTAAACCTCATTACAACAAAACTCACAAAAGTGCAAGTAATGTATGTGAAGTATCATAAATCTACAAAAGAGGCTTCAAAACAATTA